ATGTTGCTGCTAATAAATCTTTTGGATTCTTTTGAAGCATGGCTGGAGGCTCATGATTTAATTAGGGCAATCGCCGGAACCCTGACATATATATTTATATGGAGCAAAAGTGTACAAGCCATGGGACAAATTTTCCTTTTTTTCCCCCCCGAGGGACGTCCCCTTGGCCTTGGGAACTGGGATCAGGGAGACGTGGTTTATTTTATTTATTTTCTCACATGCCGGCTCTTCCTTAGCTTTTTTCCTCTCATTTCAGAGCGACAGGTTTTCCAACGGCGATGTTGCCTCGAAGAGACTCCCTGGTGGTAAAGCTGTGTTTGTGTGTGTTTTGTGTGTGTGTGTGTTTGGTGCGTCCAGTGCTCAGTTAGAGTTTAACCGTGATGGAGCCTGTCAGTTTTATTTTAATTTTATTGCATTTTTATTTGAATTGAACTTAGTTTAATTATTATATATTTTGTTATTGCATTTTAATTTTAATGGATTTTAATTTGGTTTAATAATTTAAATTTTGTTTAGTTTTGCTTTTATTATTTTATGTTGTTTGTGTTATGTTATGCTACGTTAAAATTTATCGGTTGCCATCTTACCTCTAATTCTGGCTGGCTAACAATGGTAGGTAAAACCAGGGCGACTTGTTTGACTGCATAGTCATCTCCTTCCTGTTGGATCAGGGGCTGGTGGGACTTCAGCTCCCAGAATTCCCCAGCCAGCAGAACTCTGGGAGTTGAAGTCCAACAGGCTCCAAACGGCCAAGCCCGGAGACTCCTAGGTTAGATTTTGCATTCGTTTAGGGGCTTCTTTTTTGAGAAGAGGGGCTTTGAACTGGGCCGAGGAGAAATCTGGCGTGCTAGCAATAGCCCCCCCCCCCAAGATGGAGGGCTCGGCCCGCGATTCAAAGACCTTTGCCGCCAGAGGAAACCTAACCCTGCGCATCTCCTGGTGGTGTCTTTTCTCAGGAAAGCCGCAGCAGCTCGCCAAGCCGCTTGTGACGGATGGCCCGGCTCCCACTTGGTCAGACTTCCTCCGTACCAAACTCCACCCGCGCACCATCCTGACCATCCATGAATACAACCGCGAGGAGTGAGTGGGGGCGGGGGAGGCTGTTCTCCCAATTTGGGGAGGGGGTGAGGGTGGGGATCCTATTTCTCCCGCGCAAATTCGGCTTCCTATCCGTTGCAGGGAGTCCGGCCGGCTGGAGGCCTTCGGACAAGGAGAAAAACTCCTGCAGGACAGCCGGTACCTCGAGGAGCTGGAAGATCGGCTGCACTTCTACGTGGAGGAGTGCGATTACTTGCAGGTGAGCAATCCACCCAGCATCTTGTCCCCCTGTGGCTGCAAAGCAGGGGATGTCCAACCTTGGCAACTTTGAAGACTGGCGGACTTCAACTCCCAGAATTCCCCAGCATGCGTGATTTTAGGCCGATCACCACCAGGAGATGGTGAGTTCTAGTTCTGACTTAGGCACGAAAACCCGGGATTATCCCCAGGAGGCTGGGAGTTCTAGTCCCGCCTTAAGCAGGAAAGCCAACCAGGTGACTTTGGGCCAATCCCCAGGAGGCTGGGAGTTCTAGTCCCGCCTTAAGCGGGAAAGCCAACCGGGTGACTTTGGGCCAATCCCCAGGAGGCTGGGAGTTCTAGTCCTGACTTAGGCATGAAAGCCGGCTGGGTGACTTTGGCATGGCTGTTTGGGGAATTCTGGGAGTCTTAAGTCCAGAAGTCTTAAAGTCGCCAAGTTTGGGGACCCTTCCTACAAGGCGTCGGGAGAGATGTTGCAACGTTCCTGGGGTTTCTAAACTCCAGTTCCCACCAGGTGCTACCAGCAAGGCATGCTGGGCGTTGTAGTTCAGCAATCCTCAAAAGGCACCCTCCCCCCAGCTGTTCCTCCTGCCTTCCTGGTGCCAATTCCAGCCCCCCCCCCCCCCCTATTTTCTCCATCTTTTCTTCTCCCCCAGGGCTTTC